TGAAAGTGAAAAGTTACGCCCCAGAGGGAATGGCCACACCACAATCCCTTCTCCTCCAGTATCATCTCAGAATTTTGGACATGCATGCATACATGGCCAGTGTGAGTTTTAAGCCGCCAGGTCCAGGACTCAAACCGGGGTCAACTACATGGGAATCCAGTGATGTAACCATGATGCCATCTGCTAGTTCCTCATTCTTTTACTTTTAACCCATTTGTGTTTTTATACTTAAGGCATGTTTATTACAGGCAGCATATACAATCATTGTTTCTGCTTTTCTGTTCAATCTGAACATTTTTTCATTTAACTGCAGTATTAGATCATTCATGTTTACTGTGATTACTGACAAGGCTAAGTTTAAGTCCGTCATCTTGCTATTTCTTTTCTAACGATATTTGTCACTTATGTACTATTCTTTCTTTTCCCTTTTTATTTTTTTATGACTCCATTTCTCACTTTGTCTCTCACTGTCTCTCTGTGTGTCTCTCTCTGGTGAATGCATGTGCCCTATGACCAAAACATTTATAAAAAAAAAAAAACCTCCTTGGTCAGAAATGAAAAACAGTTTATGACTCACGACAAACAACATCAATAGTCAACATATCAGCACTTTTTATCAATTATCCAGCTACAATTCCACATGTATATCCACAAAGACACACATATGGTTACTCAATAAACATCCTTGGAAAGATAGTTCAGAACGAAGTTCTTTACTTGCAAGTGTCTTGCTTGCCAGATACACAGAAACACAAGAGAGCCACAGAGAATTACTTATCAGAAATACACACCCTTGTTTGTGAGTTTCTTTCCTCCTCCAAAGGGTAGGTTGAACAGAGACACAAGGAGTTGGGAAAGGGACACCAGGCAGTGACGTTACGTTCTTTATTCTGAGTTCAGGAAGAATTCACAGAATGTTTGCTCCCTCTTGGAGCTTGTAACTCACACAGAGAGTACTCAGAAGTGCTTCTTCCCTCATGTTGCTTACAGAACCCACAACAGCATGGAGCTGAGCTGAGCCTAGCTAAGGCCATCACGGCTCGCCAAGGTCACTGGGATGAGCTAAGCAGGGCTAGCTAGCTTAGCCAAGTGCTCCCTTTCTCTTAAAGGGGCTACAGACAATAGCGAGTCATTGTCAAAAACCAACTGTCACACATGCACGTCATGTGCAATGGTGTAAAACAGCAAAATCAAAGTTACATAACAAGCATGCAAGCGCAGTACAACTAATAAGTTTTTACCCAGTGGCCATAAACATGATACAATAAGGAGTGAAGGAGTCAGACTAAACCATCCTGACTCCATTTTCTCTACAACCCTTCATTTTACACTGCCCTGGCTTCTGCCCAATTTTCCCATGATGCTCCATTTTGTCAATCATTCTGATTAACCTGAACCCCAAGAACCCAAATCCCTTTAATGGGTCTTATACCACATTAAATTGAGGTTACCATCACTAGGACACCAAGCAGAAGGACAAAGCAAACCTACAGTATTGATCTCAGCCCTGTCCCAAGGGTCCCAGACTGACTAGCTGAATAAATCCATAAACCATAAGGGTTTTATAAAACCAGGTGCTTTGTCATTATGTCTCTGTATTAACACTTTTCCTTGGTCCAAGGCATGAATCCAGACACAGCGAGGTGCATTGGTGATTGCACAGACAGCACTGGCCTGCAGAGAAAAGGCCTGGAGAAGTCTATAAACCCTAACAGCTCTGGTCAGTAAATTGAGACTGACCTGCATGCCTTTCAGGTTTCAGTTGATGCCACTGATCACTTCAGGTTAAAGTCAAGGACACATTTTATACCACCCTTTCTAATTAGATGAGCTTCATCTTAGAGATGATTGTCCACATAGTACTTATAAATTACAGGTAAGTCATCCTTCTGGGAAGCTCTTCCATGATAGCCTGATTAGGTGACATCTCCAGTTAGTTGATGCTAAATGACCCACTGGTATCACCTTCTTAAACACTTGTTTCTCTTTTATGATTATCCTTAAAGTGAAGGTCACTGTGTTCTTTGGGGAAAGGCAAATTAATGTCTGGTTTCCATACAAGGAAGCACATGGTGATGGTGTTTCCAGAAGGAATACGTTGCTTACAATCATAGAGGTACCAAAGTGAGACCCAAATCTGTCAGAAACACAGATTCAAGGTGTTTCCAACATGGCTCCATGGCTGGCTGGCTGGTTTTAAGGCTCTCAGATCGGTTCATAAAATTGAGTCTAGTCCTTGTTTTAGAAAGATTGCCTGAAGAGACATTCCCATTCACACATATCACTAAGCAGGAGGCATCCATCTTCTCCATGAACTAGGATTTATTGGTAATTTGTGTCAGAGACTCAGGAACTGGGGTCAATCCTTGCTCTTTCCAAAAGGCTTCATGGTAAGGTCAAGAGGAATGGCAATTCAATACTGATCAGAACTCTCTAGGGTTGGGATGGGGAGGAGAGATGGCAGATTCAGCAATTAGTTAAATTCAAGGTGAATGCAACCATTTAGAAGACCCATGCCAGTGTAAATGGATCTGGGAGTGATTGTGAAAGACAAAGATCATTAAAATTCTTCCTCCTCTGTCCATCCTGGAATCTGAGGAGTTCCCTTCTCAGGTGTCAAAGTTATTGTTTTCCCTTCACCACCATCAATGTGATAGTTCTCATTCCAATAGGCATAACTTTACGTTCTTTTTTTTCTTTTGGCAAATAAATTTCTACTTGTACCCAGAACTTTCATCAACAAGGGTCAAGTGAAAAAAAACACAAATGTATTTTCATAAAGCTTACAGAGACTCAATATGTTCCCTATATGGACCAGCATAGAGGGACTCAGTAGTATACCAAACCAAATTATCCTGATGATCCAGGATCGTGACAATAAAGAACCCAGGTGCCCGAACCAGAAATAAATCTGAATCCCTGAGACCATTGTGGCTAAGCTGCCACCCTAAGGGTAGACCTACAAGTTCTGCCTGGAGCTGTCATTAGAGGGGGGGGAAAAGCACAGTGTTCAGGAATAGTGGGATATTCACATAAAGCGTAAATAACCTCTATACTTTTTATCCTGATCATTACTTATGAAGTGGCTGAAGGATAATATCTTTCCCAAGGCAGCTGCATTACTAAGGTTTATGAGTTCTACATGAGTTCCTTGGACAACTTGATCAGCAGCTGTGACTGGTTTCCATAGTTAATGACCCTAAACAGGTCTATCTTTAATCAATCAGTCTTTCATTTTCCAAGTAGCAGGCCAGATGTCTAGGCCATTGACCCATTGGCAACAGCTCAAGAACCAGTTCAAATGTCACAAAGTTCAAGGAACACATTGGCCAGAGCTATGAGAATAGCCTGTGCCACCCAGACGTGCAAGAGAATTAACACCGAGGGGCTCCCTTTGGACAAGTAGAATGCAAAGCATGTAGGTAATCTTCCTCCTTCCTCCTCCTGGGTGGGCTTTCCTACAACAGTTATGGGGCTTCTCAGAGAATGGTCCCATGAGCAAGAATAACCAGTCATTCATAGCTGTGGTCAGCTCATGAATGCATTTTCTATTGACCGTCCTTTCTCTCCTACCCATTCCCCTTGTCCCTCACTCATACTCTGAGAGTTTACCTCAAGAAAGTAGCACCATAAATGAGAAATCCAAGCTAAGACAATGAGAAATCATTCCCACTGGGAGTTTCATGTTCTTGTTTATGTTCCTCTAGAAAAATCACCATTTTATAGCAGAAAACCAGTATTAATAGTATTAGAAAAGCTTATTACAGTGGCAATTTGGGGGATAAGCTATTTCTTGAGGGAGTGGTAATTTAAAAGCAAAATCTAATTGAAAACATTCCAGTTTTCTCTTGGTTAGCATTTATATTGCTAAGCTGTGAGGCACTATCATCCACTTGTTGCCCACATATCCTAAACACAGGCAAGGTAGATAGGAGGAAATGAACATTCTGAGTGCTAGCCTTGCAAAACCAAACCTATAAACCAATGACGAATGTCACATTTGTCACCAGAGCAGGATAATAATTGAATTTAAAACAAACAAAGCAAAAGAGAACTGACTAAAACGCATTTTAGAATTTTTTTAAACTTTGAGTCAAACCTATAATTCATTAACATCCCATTTTTCTATTTCCCACATGGAAACCAGAAATATTGGTGATATACATCATGTAGCAGAATACAACAAAATCATTTAAGAACCATACATTTGAATGCATACAGAATATTTGTGTTTCATTTGTATTTTTTTTCTTTTTTTTTTGTACAGGAAGGGTTGGTTCCTCTTTTGGAGGAGTTATGATTCAGATCTATTTTTCCAGCCCTGACACTGAACTCAACTCATTCTGGGCATTTCAGAATTTATGTCCTGTTTCATATTTTTTCAGACCCACTATTTCTATGTAAGGTATCCCAGTGGGAAGTAACCACAAAACCATTTCTTTTTTCTTTCCCAAGAATCTTAAAAGTCGCATAAGAAAGATGAAATGGCCAACAATGGCTCCCAAGGGGAATCTGGGAAACAGAAAAGATTCACAAGAGTTTCTTAATGTGCAAGTTTCTCTCCATATATTCACAACCCACATGAATGTCAGAACCCACAGGTTGGAAGACACAGGAGTCTGAGCTCTGCTCCCACATTTAAGGATGGAGGTAATGGGAATAGATCTTCCTGTCCTCCTACGATACACCACCCATAGCCCAATGAAACACACTGCTCAGTTCTTTCTTGTTTCATACCTTCAGTTCTCATTGGATAGACTTGAAATACATAAAATTGACCAAGTTGTATGAAAAATTTACCTCATACCAGCCATTTAATTAGAACACGGTCCAGGTCAACACTTGGTCCTTGCCAAGGACTCATAGAAAACAGTTCATCATGGCGTCCATGGGTGACTTCCTAAACAAGTCTTGTCCTTGTAGGG